ACTACTGCTACTACTACTACTACTACTACTACTACTACTACTACTACTCACGACGACTATTACTACTACTACGACGACGACTACTACTACTACTACTACTACTACGGCTACGGCTACGACTACGGCAACAACTACTACTACTACTACTACTACTACTACTACTACTACTACTACGACTACGACGACTACTACTACTACGGCTTCTTACTACTACTACTACTACTGCTACTACGACGACTACGACGACGACGGCTACTACTACTACTACTACTACTACTACTACTTACTGCTACTTGCTACGACGTACTACTACTTACCACTACGTACTACGTACTACGTACTACGTACTACTACTACTACTACTACTACTACTACTACTACTACTACTACTACTATTACTTCGACTACTACTACTACTACTACTACTACTACTGCTACTGCTACTGCTACTACTACTACTACTACTACTACTAGTAATATACTACTACGACTACTACTACTACTACTTACTAAATAACTACTTACTAACTACTACGACTACACTACTACTACTACTACTACTATACGGCTACTACTACTAACTACTACTACTACTACTACTACTCTACTCCTACTCACTACTTTCCTGCTGCCTGCTGATTACTACTTCTTCTACTATACTACTACTACTACTACTACTACTACTAGTACTCTACTACTAACTACTATACTACTACTACTACTACTACTACTACTACTACTACTACTACTACTACTACTACTACTACTACTACTACTACTACTACTACTACTACTACTACTACTACTACTACTAACTACTACTACTACTACTGCTACTACTACTACTACTACTACTACTACTACTACTACTACTACTACTACTACTACTACTACTACTACTACTACTACACTACTACTACTACTACTACTACTACTACTACTACTACTACTACTACTACTACTACTACTACTACTACTACTAATACTACTGCTGCTACTACTACTACTACTACTACGGCTACGACTACGACTACGACTACGACTACTACTACTACTACTACTACTACTACTACCACTACTACTACTGCTACTACTACTACTACTACTGCTACTACCACGAACACGGCGATGACGACGGTGATGATGGCGATGACACTGGCGAAGACGACAGTGACAACGACAACGACAACGACAACGACGACGACGACGAGGAAGAGCAAGAAAGAACGGGGACTGCACAGAGGAACGACAATAGCGTCTTCAGCCTGGCAGGAGGCAAGAACGGGAAGGAACAAGCGAGGGAGGGATAATGAACATAACGGAGAAAAGGGACGGATCATGGCCATGGGGTGGGGGAGGACAACGAAGACGAGGACTAGGGCGAGCCAAAGAGGAGCAGGCGGTACTGGCGATGACGGAGGAGAAGGAGGAAGCGAGGGAGGGATAAGGAACAGAAAAAAGAAAAGGGACGGAGCATGGCCATGGGGTGGGGGACGACCACGAAGACGAGGACGGGGGCGAGCCAAAGAGGAGCGGACGGTACTGGCGCTGACGTGAGAAGCGCGCGCGGTCGGCGGCGCGAGAGAAACGAGGAGGAGGAGGAGGAGGAGGAGGAGGAGGAGGGTGGAGGAGGAGGAGGAGGAGGAGGAGGAGGAGGAGGAGGAGGAGGAGGAAGGAGGAGGAGGAGGAGGAGGAGGGGAAGGAGGAGGAGGAGGAGGAGGATTTAGTTCTTCTTAAATATGCCGGGGACCTCGAAACCACGTTTCCAACTCGGCGTGCTGTTTGTTTTTCTCGTTTTAGCGCTTGCAGGTCCCAACAAGAAACAAACTAACGCTAACCAAACGAATCATTTGTTTGCGTTTCAGCTACGGATGTCTCAGCGTGTTCAGGTCAGTTGGTTGCATGGTTAATATTGCTATCTACGACGTCCTCAGTTCCTTCTCCTGGCGTGCAGTCCTTCTCCTGGCGTGCAGTCTAGCGGGCCCGATGGTCGATTGCCCCTCCTGGGGCCGTCAGGCCTCCGAGCCTGTTTCGGGCCGGTGATGGGCCGGTGTTAGAGCGTTCTTTAAACGTTTTCCGTAGCTATGGGAGGGAGAACGGCGACAGAATCGAGCGGGAGCGAAGACAGCAGGGAAGACAAGGAACAGCCTTCGACCAGAAGGCAAAAAACGCTAGAGCAATGACGATCCACAGCAACGGGCCTAACAACGCTAAAACATTGTAAGTAAAAACGCGAAAACACCGTCGCGTGTTTTGATAGCGTTTTTAGCTTGTCAAGAGACCTGTAATCAAAACGGTATGAAACAAAAAACCAAGGCGTTTTCAAGAAGAATCAAGGAGGAGGACAAGGATCAAGGAAGAGGGTCAGGAAGCGGAGGAGGAGGAGGAGGAGGAGGACGAGAAGGAAAAATCCGCCGATCTGGCGTATGAGTTTCAAAGGGAGCCTAAGATACATAATACAGCCTGAGCTTCAGTTCTGCGGGGGGGGGGGGCCGGGGGGGCTCTGCTCGGGAAAGGAGGGGGGGCCTGCTCCTCCTGTGCTCCGCTTTCTGGGCGGGACTGGGAGGCGTAAAAATCCACCAAATCTGCACCCTGGGGGCCAGATAGCCCAAGATGGCCGCCAGATATTTCCCAGGCGGCTCAAGCTGCACCGAAGATGGCCCAGGATGCCCTCCGAAAAAGGCAGGCAAACACTCACTGAAGGCAAACATTCTGGCAGCAACTGGCTCACTGCAGGCACAACTTCTTTTGCCTTCGGTGAGGCACGCATGTTTGCCGTCAGTGTTATTGCGGCTCTCAGGGAGCTCGCTGCCTTCGACGACATTGTGGCCATGGCCATCGTGCCTTCTCCCTCGATCATCCGCACGACGCCTGCCATCGCCGCCGCCGCTCGCTGTCTCTCTCTCTCTCGAGCTTGTCGCCGCTCGGACGTCCATTACCCGTTGCACTGCTCGGCCTCGTGCGCTTTTCCAGCGAGATGGTCCAAGGTGCTCCGCTCCGATGGCCCTCGCCGAGAATAACAACAAACGCACATTCGAGCGATGCCACACAAACTAATCAAATTCAAAACAATCCCCCCACACGAAAAACACCCCGACACGCGAAGTCGTTTGGTGAACGCGCCCAAAGAAGGTATCGAACAGGGGAGGGCGGTTTAGTAAACGCCCAGGGCCGTCTAGCAAACGCCAAGTATGAGTATCGTTTAACCGATCCCCATCCCCTCCAGCGTGGGCTGGGCCCCACTGGCCGATTTCCCCCCCTGATGGGGAGATAGGCTGCTCTCTTCGGGCCTCGAGGGGCACATCCCCACCTGAGGTGGCGAGGCGATAGGGATCGGGTCAGAAATGCTGAACTCATCGGGCCTGGGTGGATTTTCCTCTCATGCGAGGAGGCCGCGGAGGGCGGGCGCGCCGCAGCGGTGGGGCCGTGGCGCTGGCGGCGAGGCCGGCTCCCGAGGCCGCGGGGGCAAAGCGCGGCTTGATCCGGGCGGCCGCGGCGGGGTCGCGCGTAGGGGCCCCCATCGAGGCTTTCCAGCAGGAGGAGGAGGAGGAGGCGGAGGAGGAGGAGGAGGAGGAGGCGGAGGAGGAGGAGGAGGAGGAGGAGGCGGAGGAGGAGGAGGAGGAGGAAGAGGAGCAGGAGGAGGAGGCGTCGTGGACACTCCTCGCGCCCGCTCCAGGCGCTGGCTGTGTGTTCTGGGGCGCAGCCCTTGTGCGCGCCCGTGCCCGCATCGTGGCCGCCCCGAGCGCGTTGCCTGGCAGTTTCTCGAGCTCTTCGCCTGGTGCCCGCCCGTGCGGCACCTCCTCCACCACCTCCTCCTCCTCCTCCTCCTGCTCCACCTCCGCCGCCCCTCCTCCTCCTCCTCCTCCTCCTCTCCTCCTCCGCCTCCTCCTCCTCCTCAACCTCCGCCGCCCCCTCCTCCTCCTCCTCCTCCTCCTCCTCCTCCTCTCTCCTCCTCCTCCTCCTCGCTCCTCCTCCTCCTCCTCCTCCGCCTCCTCCTCATCCTCCGCCGCCGCCGCCGCCCCCTCCTCTCCCTCCTCCTCCTCTCCCTCCTCCTCCTCCTCCTCCTCCTGTCCTTTTCCTTATAACTGCTCCCTGTCAAACCCCGAGGCAAGTTTTTAGGACGGGCGGGGCGTCTCGCCTGAGACTTCCTCAACATGTGCGATTCTGGAACTTCAGAATTAGCAACCGTTTCACAGATGGAAGGCGGGTGGTTTTCAACATGTGGCTCTCGCCTTAGCGCGGCGCACACTCGTTCTAAAAAATGCAGGAGCTTCACGGACTGATGGCGGGTGGTTTTCAAAATGTGGCTATCGCCTTAGCGCGGCACACATTCGTTTCAAACATTTGCAAGAGTTTCACGGGTTGACGGCGGGTGCTTCTAAAAATGTTGCTCTCGCCACAGCGCGGCGCACATTCGTTTGACATGAACGCACGAATTTCACGGATTCAGGGCGGGTGGTTTTCAAAATGTGGCTGCGGCCTGAGCGCGGCGCACATTCGTTCTAAACGTTTGCAAGACTTTCAAAGATTGAGGGCGGGTGGTTTCCAAAATGTGGCTCTCGCCTTAGCGCGGCGCACATTCGTTTTAAACATTTGCGAGATCTTCACGGATTGAGGACGGGTGGTTCTCAAAATGTGGCTCTCGCCTTAGCGCGGCGCACATTCGATTGTGCTTTCTTTGGTATGTATACATGTATATATATATATATACAAGAGTTTTGCGGATTGAGGGCGGTTCCTTTTCAAGATGTGGCTCTCGCCTTAGCCCAGCGGATATTATGTTTAACACTTTTGTTGAACAGGTTCACGGATTCGCACCAACAGCGTACCATAAATTTTGTTTTGAAAGGATTCAGGATTGCGCGGGCGCAATAGTTACGCTGATTCGCTGTATTGCAGTCCCAGGAATGGCGTTCTGGCACGAGTCTGAGTCGTCAACACGCAACAGTCAGGTTGACCCGTGGCGTAGGACTCCCGAGAACAATGTTTTCGCATGCTGCAGGTTCTTCAAACGGTTTTCTTCCAACGAGGCAGTTCCTTCAATGGATATGAACCGTTGTAGGGGCCTATGAACGAGGGAGCCTGGAGGGAGGGTTTATTCCAGCATCGTTGATGCCGCTTGAGTTTACACTGGTCCTCCTCCTCCTCCTCCTCCTCCTCCTCCTCCTCCAGTGTAGAACGTCACGTTTTTTACGCAATGGGATCCGAGGGATCGGCCGCCCTGCGGGGGGCACGGGCTGGCGCTGGAAAGGTGTGGAGGGCGCCGCTCCTCCTCCTCCTCCTCCTCCTCCTCCTTCTCCTCCTCCTCCTTCTCCTCCTCCTCCTCCTCCTCCGCCTCCTCCTCGTCCTCCTGCTCCTTCGCCTCTCCTCCTCCTCTTCCTCCTCCTCCTCCTCCTCCTCCTCCTCCTCCTCCTCCTCCTCGTCCTCCTGCTCCTTCGCCTCTCCTCCTCCTCCTCCTCCTCCTCCTTCTCCTCCTCCTCCTTCTCCCTTTGCCCTGGTCCGTCGTCCCGGGACCCCCTCCCCTCCCGATCTGTCGTCCTGGAGACCCACCCCCCTTTCCAAAGGGAAGGGGGTGGGCCCCCCACCCTTTGGCCACGCCGCCCCCCTAGCTCCGGAACCCTACCCCCTAACCCTACCGCCCGAAACCTAACCCTAACACCCTAAACCTAACATCCTAAGCCTGACGCCTTAACCCAAACACCCGAACCCGAATACCCTTGTCCTAACACCCTGCATCTACGACCACCTTTCGGGTGATAAGGAGGTTGGGGGTGGGGGGGATGAACTGATTGCTGGCAAATGCGATGGGTGTGATGATGACGATGGTGGTGTCGGTCCCTCGAATTAGCGACGTCGCGTAATAACGATATTGCGCTACGATGTAATGTCACTATCGTTCCCACATTCGCCAATGGATTCCGCGATCGATCCTACTGTCATTCCCACTAGCGATCTCACTATCGATTTCACTATCGATGTCAAATCCAATGTCACAATCAACCTCACTGTCGATCTCACTTTTGACCTCACTATCCATCGCATTCTAGCGATCTCATTATCGATACCAATGTGGGACACCCCCGGCCACCGCCCGCCCATCGCCGACGGAACATTGACAGGACACCAACGGGACACCAAGTGGGCACCACCGGGTACCACGGCGGGACACCCCGGGCCACCGCGCGCCCACCCGAAGGAAGGGACGTCCACTGCATCCATATCGCCTTAGCGACGGCGGGGTCAGTTCTCTTGCGCGCCCACACAGCTTCGCCTCGCCCGCACGCACAGCACGACCGCGAAACCGAAACCCATTTTCCAGTTGGGGCTCTCCGTTCCACTGCGATATCACCCCCCCCAACCTCTAAACACGCTAACACCTTAACCCTAGCACCCCACACGAGCTCTACCGCCCTAAGCCCTAAGCCCTAACCCTAACACCCTGACCCGAAACCTACCGCCCTAACCCTAACATCAGAATCCGATAGCCTACCCTTACCTAGCCCTAACACCCGACTCCGAACCCTACCGCCCTAACCCGAACCCTAACACCGCAAGCGCAACACCATCAACCTAACACAAACACCCTAGCACCCTAGTCCCAACCCTAACACCCTTGCCCATCCTTACTATGCGGGTTGACTGTACGTCGCTGCGCCGTTTTCCTCGACGCGCCCGAGTGGACGACGCCGACACCACGGCAAAGCCACGGCAAACCCTGCGCCCCGCGCCCCCATTAGACGAGGCCGGCACTGCAGCAGACCCCACGGCGAGCCCACCGCGCCCGAGGCGGCTTTGCCCTGGTGGCCGAGGCGCCCTCCCCAAGGCGTAAGGTCGCGCGTCAGAACGAACGGCGCGGCGATCCATGGCATGACCAAACAATCAGACACACGACAACCAAACGAACAAAACTAAAATGGGAGGCCCGAGGAAGAACCCATGTGGCACGCGGCAGCAGCGCTCGGGGGCTGCACCTGGTTCCTTACTGTGCGCACCTGCTTCGGATTGTGATCGGTTCGGAGACTCTTCAGGCTCATGGCTGGTAGATCGCTCGACTCAGCGATGAGACGCAAAAGAAACTTCAGGCCCGCTCCACCTACACGATCGACTCGGGATCCATGGGGTGCACTCGCAACACACGACGGCCCACTCGGACACGGCCTGGCCAAAACACTATGCTGCTGCGGTTCTACGTCACCTGCGGCTGGCACTCGTTTGCAATGTCTGTGGGGGGGCGAGGATCGGGTCGGACGATGGGGGGGGATGGCAGAGAGGGGGTAGCGAATCAGCAACACATGTCGCCGCGCCGCTTGTTCTGAACATGCCCAAGTAGAGGAAGCCGACACAACGGCAAAACCATGGCAAACCCCGCGCCCCGCGCCCAAGCAGACGAGGCAGGCACCGCGGCAAACGCCATGGCGAACCCACCGCGCCCGAAGCGGCGCTTGCCCTGGTGGCCGAGGCGCCCTCCCCAAGACGGAAGGCCGCGCGTCGGAACAAACG